CTACTCACGAAGGTTTTTAACAGACTTTTCCTAAGGCTACCTACTCACCCCACAGTTGGCTTCTCTCAAATTACAGGTTTTTAGAATTGTTGGCATTTTGTTGACTTATCTTTTCTCAAAGCTACTTTGGGGGATAAGATTAGAAGACATACTATACATTCATTGCACCAGAATCTTCTGTTACTTTCCTTGGCTATCACATTTTAAGGTTTATTAAAAAAGGATTTCTTTGGTTGGCCTTGGTGAGTTTGTAGCAATGTTTTTGGTTTGCTTTTTCTTGGCTCTTTTTTATTTTGTTAGCAGGAAGGTCGGGAGGATTCTGTGATAGCTTCACTTTGCTGTCCTAACCCAGAGACCCCAGTGCTGCCTTGTCCATGCTTCTCCCCTCAAGCCCTTCCTCTGGGCAAGATCCAGGCAGGCCAGCCCCTAACACTTTCCAGTCCCTGGCTGACTCAGGAGCCCCCCAGGATGAGGCCTTAGCACATGATGGTGTTCAGTCCATGGCAGAGAAAGGATAAAGCAAGGAACATTTCATGGAGGTAGCGTCAGCGACGGAGGGTCCTCAAATGCTTCACTAGAGGGCATCCTAGGCAGGGGCACAGAATGCACAAAGGCGCGGCAGTAGGAAAGTACAGGAACAATGATTGGAGAATGCGGAGGAGTCCATGTGGCAGTAGTGCCAGCTGAAGGAGAGGAGGAGCTGGAGAGGTGGCAGGCAGGGCCCAGGCATGCAGGCTGGCATGGGGGCTGCCCTTGTGTGTGACCACAGCACGTGGCTTCTGTGTCTGGAACCTCAGGGAATACTATGCTGGACGGGGGCAGCGCAGGTAGGGAAGCCTGGTTTTTTGCCTCTCCTCCCCATCCTCAGCCCCTCCCAGGAACCTTCTCTGACTTCTCCACTCCCACTACCTCTCTGTCCTGGTGAGCCCCAAGGTGCTCCTGCTGTCTTCTCTACAGCCTCAGGTAAGGCCTCAGCCATGGCCACATCAGGCACACTCTCCATCATAAGCCACACACAACGTGGTCCTAAAGACACCCCCCACAGATGCACCCTTGGTCACTCAGCCACACAGAAACATAACTTCATGGTTGCACATACTCACAACTTGCATGTGATGGCACAGCGATACAAGCTGTTGACGCACACCTTGCACACGGCTCCACTCTACTTGGCTCCCTTTCTGGGGCCTTTGCCTCTGAATCTCCCAAGAGCCTGCCCTGCCCCCTGGTGGCCACTCCTTAAGCCACTACCCTTCTGGAAGAACCCTACGTATGCACCCCCTTCCTGGCTTGGTCCTTGCCCAAAGAAATTTCTGGCCTAGAAATCTCTTCCCTCAGACTGACCCTGTCAGAAAAGGCCTTCTCAGATAGGGTGACCAACTTTCCTGTGTGCCTAGGACTGAGAAGTTTCCCAGGACATAAGACATTCAGTGCTAAAACCAGGGAAGTTCCAGGCAAACCGGGACTAGTTGATCACCCTACTCTCAGATCCACGTGCCTTCAGATTAGTCTCCCCCTCAGACGGGACTCAACAGATCGGGCCCCTTCAGACGCTCTCCAGATCAGCCTACCCCCTCAGACTGTCCCTTTCAAACAAGATCTCTTCAGAAGCATGTCTCAGACCAGCCTCCCCTCTCAGACTAATCCTGTCAAGGCTGCCTCAGATTGACTCACTTTCAGATTAGCCTCCTCTATCCAAATGGCCCTGTCAGATAAGGTCTCCTCCAGCCTTTTTCTCCTCAAACTAGTTCCTTCAGACTTCCCTCCGCAGATCTGCTTTCCCTCCCCCTTCCCCTGAGGAGACAGGTGAGGGATCACACAGCAACCCTGCCTGACTCCAAGGCTCCAACCCTGCATCCCCAGACAGGTGTGCCGCTTTCTGAGGGTCTTGCTTCTACCTGACCAGGTCCAGTACCTCTAGGTTGTCGGCACAGGGAACATGTGGGCTTCAGGACATAAAGACACCCAGGTACAGGGTACAGAGTTGGGGTCTGGAACCAAGCATTTTGTTCTCTCCAGGTGAGAATGAACTTTCTCAGAGTCCCAGCCTATGGAGGCAGTGGGCTCACTAGCTCTGGGGAGTTCCCAAGGCCAGAGGCTGCCCCAGAGGAATTCCTGCCTTGTGTCTCCCTCCCTCCCGGCTGGCTGATGAGAACGCAGATTGTGGGATGTGTGTGCTGATAGATGCTGGCCTGGGTGCAGGCATGAAGGGCAGGTGGGTGGCCGAGAGGGGGCAGCAGAAGCCAGGATAGCCCCCGGCTTAGGCCAGCGAGGCAAGGTGGCCACAGGCTGGCGTCTGGACCAGGGCAGAACACACAGAGGGGAGCAGAGAGAGGGAAGGACTGACAGAGTTGAGGAAGAGGGACAGAGAGATGGAGATGGAGACAGGGGAGAAGACAGAAACACAGAGATGGGGATGGAGACACACAGAGATAGAGAGATGGAGAGACAAACTGGGAGCAGAGACAGGAGAAAAAACAGGAGATAGAAACATGCAGAGGGAGAGAGCGAGAGATGGGGTAGAGATACATGGAAGGAAACACAAAGATAGTGACCAGGACAAAGACCTACACAGAAATAGGACTAGGACAGAGACAGCTGCAGAGATGGACATGGAAACAGCGAGAAGAGGGGGGCAGAGACAAGTCCAGCATTGTAGGAATGAGATGGAGCCGCACTGGGAGATCAGGTGGGCAGGGGGCTAATAGGTCAGAACATAGCGGGGGTCCCTCCATCCTAGTGCACCTTAGGGGAGCAAAGAACTAGTCGGCAGAAAGGCTGGACCACTGTGCACATTGGGCCTGGGATCCAAACCTCTCCCACCAGCCCCCCAGTTCCATAGCAGTGTTTTCATTCTCTGGGTTATGTTTTAGCTCCAAGAATTGATGTCTATACTTATCCCTGGCTCCCCAGAACCACCACGGGAAATAACAGATGTGGAGGTACAGTACTCAAGGGAGGCAGTGGTAGACTGCAGCCAAGATCCTCCAAGGCAAGCAGCCTCTGTGAGGTCGAGGGGCCAGGACCCCCAAGGAGGGGTGACCACCCACAGACCCAGTCCAGTCAGAGGCATGACACCAACCTCCAGCCATCTTGGGGCTTAGGACAGGGCTGGATCTGTCTCCAGCGGGTTGGGGTTGGGGGCAGGGAGATGCCCCAGTCCTCCTATCGGCTTCTGAGGCTCCAGCAGCCCCCCCTCCCTTCCTTCTGCCCCCTCCTCCCCAGGCCCACATAATTACTTTCCCATGTTGTTAATGGAGGCCAGATTGCTGATGCCCAAGCCCTGGGTGGGCGGCGGGTGGGTCAGGACTGACCAAGGCTCTCAAGTCAGGAAGGCAGCACAGGCTAGAGGACTCCTAGCTTCCACCCACCCACCCCAAGGACGGAGAAGAGGGGAGGCTCAGACACCTTCCAGGAATACAATGTCATTGGTAAGAGAGGTGGCGGCCCCACCTGTTGCCCCTGCCCCTCCTGGACCTGGAGCGTAGGTTCAGGCCTTGACCCCATCTCACAGGGATCAGACAGGGCGACTGGAGTTAAGAGTACAGAGACAGCTCCAGGCCACCTCTTAGGATAGCCATCCTAGAATGACAAGCCATGTGCTCTCATAGTAAGGGTTATTCAGCTTGAAGAGCTTCTCTACCCTGACGCCAGGACTTTGCTCTCCATGAGGCTCCTGCCTGGAACACCCTTCCCGTCCACTCATGCCTGTCCAGGAGGAAAGCCAGTCATCTTCACTCTCAAGCCCTTCACAGGTCCCCTACTTAAGGTCTGCTGTCCAGGCCTGATTCATCAATGCCTGAGGCACTGTGAGCACCTGACCCTGCCAGGGCAAGACCCCAGGTAGGCCTGATGAGACCGGTGAGAAGTGTCCATTTTCTGTCCCCAGTCTGAGGAGAAGAGTGTGCACTGGGGGTATGTGTGTGACAAAGCAGGGGATCTGGATGAGTGCAAGTGTGGTGCTTAGTACCTGCTGTGTGGGGAGTGTCAGTGTGGACATATCTGTGTGTCTGTGTTCACGGCTTTGACTCTCTCTTCTTGCTCTAGCCACCTAGAGCAAGGCCGAGGCTGGCCTGCCCCACACCCCCACCTCCAGGCCAGAGGTGATTACCAGCTTGGCCCAGCCCCGGGCATTCTCAGTTAAGGAGTCTTAGAGCGGTAGCTCCTACAAGGGCCTGGACCTGAGCAGGCTTGGGGTAGCCAAAGGGCCTCTTGGAGGAGAAAAAGTCAAAGGGACCTTGGAGCCCCAGCTTGGGGACTGGAAAGACAGGGTGGAGAGATGGACCAAGGACTGGCCACCACCGTAAAGCCAGAGCCTTGCTCCACCCACCCCACACTGACTCCTAGCTGTAATCTAACCCTGGGCATGAACCTTGTACTCCGTAATTCCAGTCCCAAAACACCAGTCAAATCCCCAATCACACTCCAAGTGGCCTCCTCCTTCAGGTAGCCTCCTTGCCTGTCCAGGACACTCTGTCCTCTGAGCCCTTATGGTCTGGCTGAGCCCCAGGCCTGACCAGCAAGAGCCCCTGGACTGTCTCCTGGCTGGCAGAAACCTCCTCACCAGCCAAAAAGATGAGGCTTGGCATCCTCACCTTCTTCTATCTCTGCCCCTGTGGGTAGAGTCCAGGCCTGGACACTAATGGAAGACAGCTCCAGAGAGGGCCCTTGAAAGGCTTCTACTCCAGCCAGGACTTCAGTAGCCTCCGGGGCTGGCCCACTGGGACCTCTCATTCCCCATAATACTGTCCCTGGTCGCAACTCTGTGCTGTGGGGTCCCTGTGGCCCTGGGCTATGAGGGGTTGGGGGTGTTGAACCAATCTCCAGGGAAGCCCCCCTCCCACCCTGAGAAGCACAGTCTTCCCTCCAACCACATTTGCCTAAAAGCTGAACTCTCTCTCCCCACTCTCCCCAACCCTAATTTCTTTCCTTCTCCAGGCCTGGAAGGGGAAGGGTCCTTGGAAGAGGGTTATCCTTCCAAAATGGGTTTGTTCCAAGGACTCATGAAATGGTGACGTTTAATGAGAACCCCCCCACCTCCCACCCCTGTATATACATCTATAAAAAATTCAAATACAGCAAGTTACCATTGAGTCAGACTAGGAGGGACTGACAGGGCATTAAATACTGTGGAGTAGGAGTAGGGGCTAGGGAAGGGTCATACAAAACAGGGGTAGAGGTGGGGGGACTGAAAAGTCTGGGCGCTGCAGGGAAGGGAATGGATGGGCCACCCCGCAGCGTCAGGAGCTTATAATCTGATGGTAGCAACAAAGACCCCGGGACAGACAGGAGGCTGGGGCAGGAGAAATTGTGGATGTGAGGGGCTCCCCTCAGGCCCCCCAAGGGCTCCTGGGAGTCGCTGGCATTGGAGGGTCCAGCCCGAGGGGGCAGGGTGAGGGTGGGAAGGGAGGTCTTTGGTGGGTGGGTTAGCTGCATGGTCCTCCTCCCCTGAGGGAGGGAGGAGGGCCGGTGGCATAATGTATCTGGGCGGGGATGGCAGGTCCGGGCCCGCCTGGGTCTCTACAAATTGCGTTTGAAGAGAATGCAAAAGGTCCTCCTGCCCGTGTGCAAAATAGAAACCGGGGTCTGCAGGCTCAGCTCCGGCTTCTGCTCCTCTGCAGGTGCTCTGTCATTTTGTCACAGGATGCTGGGCTCTAGGGAGACAGGGCAGGGGGCTGTGAGGAATTAGGGTGGGGTGGGGGCCCCTTGGGCTCCTCTCTCCGCCCAGCCCCACCCAACTTACCAGATTAGGAGATCGCTGGCAGTGGCAGCAGCGGCGGCAAGGGCCAGAGTGACAGGGGCACTGACCAAGAGGGGTGCCGAGGGTCCCCCGCCACTGCCCAGCTCCCCAGGGTCACAGATCTTCGTGGTGGGCTGGGGTGCCAGTGAGCTGGTGGTGCTGGTCGTGGTCTCTGGGGAGCATGGGGGAAACTCAGGACAGCACCGGGCTGGGGTCCCACCCACTCACGAGGCACACTGTTCCTGCTTCCTGCTCAGCCCAGCGCTGCTTCCTCCATTAGACAGCCCCGGCCTCCCAAGGCTCACAGGTTATAGACCACTCAATGACCCCTACTATACAGAACAGCAAGGTGGACAGAGAGACAGGAGAGTGGCAGCCACAGAGTGTGTGGAGACCACTGGAACAGCGGCATTGTGACCTGGGCAGGGAGGGGGGTGGGTTGGAGGGACTGCCAGGGAGCGCAGGTGCAGGAGCGAGGGTGGGCTCACCCGGAGCCTGGGCCTCGGTGGTGAGGTGTCGTGGTTCCTCTGTCCAGGGTGTGGCGTGAGCGGCCACGCTCCAGTCACTCCATGTCCCAATCTCATTGTCCTTGGCTGCCACCTGGATGATGTACTCCTTCCCGGCGTAGGCGTCCGTGATGGTGTGCGCTGTGCCGTCGGACAGCTCCACCTACAGCCAGATCATGGGGTGGGGGAGTAAGCACAAGGATCTGGAGAGTGAAGCACTCCCCAGAGGAAGTGAGAGTCCCCCGGGGAGAGGAGAGTGATGACATCTCCGGGTGGATGAGGACTTCTCTGGGGGAGAGGGGATGTTGAGAATATTCTGGAAACACCCCCCAGGAGAGAATAAAGACCCCTTTGCTCAGTGTCAACGACTGTGGTTGTCCTGGCTCCCCTACCTCCCCCCACCAGCCTGACTCCTGACCTCAGTCCAAGCCTGGAGGTGACAACAGAAACAGGCTGAGAGGGGAAATGGCACCGGCCACCTCATGCTGCCCTCCTTCCCCATTAAGAGGCAGTTTAGTGAGAAGGTTACAGGTTGCCTGAATGCAAATTTTGGCTCCGTCCTTTACTAGCTGGGTGACAAAGTTAATTAACTTCCACATGCCTTGACATCCTCATCTGTAAAATGGTGTTAACGATAGATAGCATCTCCCTCATAGGGTTGTAATGAGGACTATGACACATGGGAAGCACCAGACTGCAGCCAACACTGTAGTTATCACGGGGTCCATCTCCAAGCCAGGGTTTCCCAGTGCCCACTGCATCCACCGCCTGGCCCAAGTTGGGCCTCCTCCTCAGGAAGGCTTCAGTGTGGATTATCACCCGGCCTGAGGCGGAAATGGGGTAGGGGGCAGCCCCCCGGGGCGGCAGGACAGCTGCTCCACTTCCTCCTGGAGGCATTGCCACCCCACCCCCGCCCTGGCCGGCCCCATCCTGTTGGTTTTCCCCCAACCCTCCAGGCCGACCTGCCTGTCCAGCACCCCTCCCCAGCCCAGGCTGGGCTCTGGTTCATCTCAGCGGCACCCGCCGCCTCATTAAGCCGCCTCGCCTTGTAAACAGGGGCAGCCAGCAGAGGCGGGAGAAGGGGGCTGCTCTGGGCCATGTCTGGCTTTAGGGCTTTTTTGGTCCCTGTTCCAATCATCCTCCAAGAAAACTGGAGTCTGGGCTATCTGACCCTATGGGCTGTGAGTACATGTGTGCACGCACATGTGTGTGTGTGTGTGTGTGTGTTCCTGAGTGCACCGTGGTCCAAGCGGAACTGGAAGCTCCTCCTCCAATTCCCACTGAGTCTGTGGCCCTGATTCGGGAGGCTCTGGTAAAGGTCAGGGTCAGGGTGAAAGTCAGAGTCATTTGGGGCCCAGACTTGGGCTCAGCAGGGCTCACTCCCAGCCCTGGCAGGTGGGTAGGCTCCAAAGACCTTCCTCTCCTGGGCCTGGGGCCCCAGCTCCACCTCTGGTCCCCAGAGCCCTATTCCGCTCCACGAAGACACACCGGCTGAGTAGGCCCAGCTCCTTCAGCTCTTCCTCCCTCTTGCTAGGATTTGGTCCCCAGGCCCCTCCTTTGTTTCTGTCCCCTAGACCTCCACATCTGTCTTTTCCCAAAGGGAGAGAGCCATGGGGAGCAGATGAAATTGTTGCCTCACTGGTGGGCTCATGGTGGGCACCATCCTTCCAGGAACATGGTCCAGAAGCCCAGTGCTCTCCTGGCAGCCACATCTCCTAGGCCTGGGCCCTTCTTGCTAGGCTGTCACTAATCCCTTAATCCACCCCCATTAAGGGAATGGCTCCTTAACTGGCAGGAACCCCCTAGTGGCTGGCATCCACCTCCCCACCTCCGGATCCTCCATCCTGCCTGCAGCAGTAGATGTCAGACATGCCCTCCAGGCCTCTCTGCTGACTTAGGGCCAGAGCAAGAGCTGCAGGGAACCCATGCTGGGTCCCAGTACTTGCCTCTCCCTTGTCCATGCTGAGACAGCCCCTGCCAGACTTCCTGGTGCCCACTCTTGTGCAATTCCTGGCCTGTATCTTTCATCTCCTCCTGAAAATCGAAGCGATGTTTTCTCTGCTTCCTCCTCTGTACCACCTCCCAAATCATACACCTGCCTCTATCCAAGGTCAAGGATGGAGGACAGTAGATTCTGTTCAGAGCAAAACTAAAATTCAGAGGAGCCATAAATCTAGCCAAGCCCAATGCCAAGGAGACATGGACAGGGCTAGGATGTGCCACAGGCCATGTATGTTCTCGCCACAGAGCCCACACACTTTGCTCTGACCATGTTTGGGGGTCAGCTCTACCCATGGTGCCGGCCAATGTACTGTCTTGGCATGTTAGTCACACATATGTGTGAGCATGGTCCCTGCTGGGGGCCACGTGTGTACGTGCATGTCCCTGTGTGTGTGATGGGCAGCGTGCCAGGTCCACTGCAACGCGTGTGTGCCGCGACGCGCAGGGCTGCTGCCTGTAGCTTGTTAGCGGGGGAGGGGAGCTTGTGAAACTAGACCCTGGTTATTAGCAATGCATTAGGCGCAGGCAGCTGGCCAGGTGGGAGGGACTCCGGACTCTGTCAGGGAACATGTGAGCGTGTGAGCAGCCTTTGTGGGGGCCAGGCCCGAAACCCAGACAGACGCCCGGGAATCGAATTACCCACTTTAAAGGCCAGATGGGAAAAGGGCATGAGGAGATGGAGCTGGAACCTGGTGGATGCAGCAGGGGTACAGGTTGACTGCTAGAAGCCAGCCTGGGTTGCCCCACGGAGCACTCTCCCAGCCCCAGGCCTAGCCCACAGACCTCCTGGGCCACACAGAGTGCCCGCAACCCTATGGGTTCAGAGCTGTCAATGTAAAAGAAACCCAAGTCTTCCCCAAACCCTGACTGCTCCCTAAAGCTTTCTATCATAGCTTGACCTGCATCTCAGACCACAGCCTTCCCCCATACTGACACTTGTCCACTGCTTGGTTCCCAGCCTAGGTCACCTCCTGCCCTGTAACCTTAAGCTGACCTCTAAAAGCTAGGCCTGACTTTGCAACCCTGACATTAGTTATGGCCTGAACTCACAGCCTGGACCAGGCTTGACCCCATTGCCTAATCCTGACCCCTTGAGCCCAGCTGTGAGTCCTTGAGGACAGGAACTGTCCTGCCCCTTGGGTCCAGCATAGGCCCAGTGTCTGGGCCAGAGTATAAAGAGGGAGACAGATGATCAGGGCCAAGAGCCAGAGGTAAGGAAAGGGAAACACTGCCCACCTTGCCATCTCTCTTCCAGCATCTGTCTCTACTACCCTGGGGAGCCACAAAGACAGTCATGCTCCCACTGCACTAATGGGGTCACTGGGAACCCCTAGGGCCTTAAATCAGGACACTTCCCTTGGTTCCATCCATCTCCCAGGCCCACCTCTGGTCCTGCCTCCCAGAAAGCCTCTCTGACTGCCCTCAGGCCCACACTGGAGCTGCCACCACCTAGGATATAGGTGCCTCCCAGGCCATATGGCTCTGATTCAGGCACCCAGGATCTGGGCAGGGCAGGGCAGGGCACTCACATGCTGCCACTGATCCAGGATAAGGGGTCGGTAGCGCAGAAAGAACTTGAGAGGAAAAGACTCAGGGTCAGGCCAGGTCGAAGGGGTCTGCCATGTCACCTCCAGCCGGCGAGGGTTGCTAGGCACCGGCCGGGCTACCACGTTTTCTGGAGGGTCCGGCTTCACTGTTCAGGAGACATAGCTTCATTACCACAACGATCTCTGAGAACAACCTCACTTTGTCAACCCCAGCCATCATGTTGACCTTCTCATATCACCAGCCATTGTCATCATCATGGTTGCCATCCTCTTCTCTGTTGTCAGTCCTGGCGGCTACCATTAAAAACCATCTCAATACTTCCACCTCTGACATCCTTGTCATCACCAATGACTATCACTATAGCCATTGTTATCAGCTCTTGACATTATAAACTTCATCCCATCATCCCAACCTCATCCTCATGATGACCAGCTCCCCAGTAACTAAGCCTATACAATACCTCCAGCATTGCCATCATCACCTCCATCATCACCTGGATCACCCCTTCCTGCACCAGCATTTCACGTTCCCCCAAGTCTGGTTTGTCACCTCAACTTTTCCAGTTCCAAACTGAGACACAGCCTCTCTTGGACGGATCTGGGTTTGAAGCTGCTCTGTGAGTCAAGAGTTATAAGACAGTCCACAGGTGTTGCAGATCTGAGCTGGAGGAAGGCTGGGAGTCTGATGGGTGCATCTAAGGGCTTAGCTCATGCAGAAAGAGTCTGGCTGGGGATCCAGCTATGGGAGTGGAGGGGGAAGACGGGCAGGCACGGGATATGGCTGGGATGGGACAGGAGAAGGCAGAGAGTCTGCCTGGAATGGGGCAAGGACAGGCAGAGGGCCTGGCTGGATGGGATAGGGGCAGGCAGGGGTCTGACCGAGATGGGGCAGGGGCAAGCAGAGGGTCTGGCAGGGCTGGGACAGGAGCAGGCAGGGGTACCAGGTCTGGCTGGGATGGGATAGGATGAGGCAGAGGGTCTGGCGGGGATGGGGGTGGGGGAAGGGCGGTATCTGTCCCAGTCCTGTCTCCTGTTCTGACACCTCATTCATCACAGGCCGTAAGGAAGCCATTAGTGTGGGGTGAGGGGGAGGCTGCAGCTGCACAAGGGTCTGGCCCAGCCTGCCCCCCTCCCTCTCCTGCATGCTCTGGGAGCCAGAGACGATGGGAAGAGCTGCTGGAGATGCCTCTCGGCCCCCACAGGTAAAGGACATTCACTCTTATGTTCACAGGTGCACACACACCACACATAGATGTCAGTGTGCACACACCACATATACAAGTACACACGTGAGCATCCCCACCAATGTCGGTGTATACCTGTGGCACACATCCACTTACACACTCCCACTCAAGTATGCAGAAGGGATCCCCTCAACCACCACGCACCAATGGTGAACTCATCGAAGGTGATAGCTGTGGCGTTGTGGCCCAGGGCGTTGCTGACGCTTATTGAGACTTTGTACTTGACCGTGGAGAACAGGTGCATATAGCGGATGTGGCAGCGGTTCTTGAGGGCCGGGTCCTTCTCACAGACCATAATTTTGGAGCCATGCCTGGGGAGGGATGGGGCTCAGGCACGATTACCAACACCAACGGTCAGGTGGGGCAGAGGTTGTGGGGAAGTCAAGCCCGTGGCTGGGCTGGACTGAGGGCATGGTTGTGGGGGGGGTCAGGTGTGAGGTCAGAGGTCAGGGTTGGGACCGGGTCACAGGCGCAGCTACTCACAGCACGGTCACATTGAAGGTGTTGGGGATGTAAGTGGGGGTGGACAGATGCCAGCTGCAGTAGAAGCCCTTGGGGTAAGTGTTGGAGCGGCAGCTGAGCACAGGCTCCCGCGGTGGCACTAGGGGCGAGGACAACATGGTCAGGGCACTCCTGGAGCCCCCAGTCCCCTACACTAGTGTGGGGACAGGTGGGCCCCAGAGTCCCAGCTTTCCCCACCCCCGAACCCATCAGCAATGCCAGAGGTGGGGGGGTGCTGTCAGCAAGGGTCTGAGGCTTCCCAGGCCACAGACAGCCAGATGTTTAATTAAAGAAAAACAAGGGCTGTGCAGAGAGGGAGCCCCCCCTCCACCTGCTCAATGGAGGCGGGAACTTCGGGGAGCAGGGGGCTGCGGGCCTCAGCTCATCAATCACAGGATGGAGGTGCTGTCTGGGGGGATCGGCCCCAGCCTCACATCTCCTGCCACACTGTGTCCATTCCCAGAGGAGGACAGGCCTTAGCAGGCAGATGCAACAGAGGCCAAGGAGGGCCTTGATCCGGTCCTCTGGTTGCTGGGGTGATCAGGCTGCACTTCCTGGAGAAGACACCCCAGGCATCCCCTGGTGATGGCGGTTGCAGGAGGCCCTCAGTAGAGATTGAGACAGGAGAGGCCTGGCGGCTACACAGGAACAATGAAGCACTGGGTGGCTGTTCACATGCTTATGTATGTACGCATCTGAGTGCATGGATACATATGTAGACACATGTCTGTGTATTACATGAACAAGTGACCCCCAGTGACTGGATGTGGGTCCATATGTAGGAGCCTCTATGTGGGTGTGTGTGCATCTGGGTGTGGCTCTCAGAGTGCGTGCTCATATATGACTGTGTGTCTGCATATGTGCCTGTTGAGAGAAAGCTGCTGTCCCTTGGTGTGTACCTCACCCCACCCCCAGCCCCCAGCCCCCAGCTTCTCATCACAGAGCCTTTAAGAAGCCCTTTCCATGGTTAGCGGCTGCCTTCTCTCTGGAATAGGGAAGCCCAGAGAGGGATGGGAACTTGCCTGGGTTCACACAGCAAGCCCAAGCCGGGACTAAACCCCATGACACACTTAGGAAGTCCTTTCTGCTGTCCAACCACACTCATTTTGCTGTTGTGAGCACTTAGCCCAGCTGTCCCACCCTCAGGCATTGGGCAAGGCGTGAAGACAGGCGGCTCAGGTTCCTGGAAGGAGGCAGCTTCTGTGATCTGACCCAGGCAAGGAATGTCCGTCCAGAGCTCCAGGGACACTGACACCTCCCTCCTGTGCCCCCCCACCCCCCTGCCTGACAGGTGGACAGGAAATGGGAGGGGGCAGCTCAATAATCCAGGGACGGTGAAGGGGAGTGCGTGTCTATGCTTGTAGGGTGGCCATGGTGACATGTGGGGAACTGTGGGCTTCCATACACAGTGTGCAATGGGTGAATGTGTGACTGCGTGTACATGGCCACTACATGTGAAGCTGTGGAGAGAGGGGTCTGGGACAGAACCCTCAGGCCCAAATCTGGCTTTGCAGCAGAAGTGAGGAGGGGGCAGGTGGCCATCAGGAAGGCTTGGATGTAACAGGTGAAATGGGCAATGCAGCAGGCCGAGGTGGCACCACCCCCGGGCCTGCAAGGGAGAGCCGGAACCCATCTAAGCCCCTGCAGGGGCAACTGCTGTCCTGTCCACTACTGTCTGCCTCTCCTGGGAAGCCTTCCTGGCCCCAGGTCCATTTTGTGTCTGTTCCATGTTCATACTGTGTGCCTCTCTGTGTCCCTTCCCTATCTGCCCAGGGCTGCAGAGGCATGGGGGTGGGGTGGGGGGTGGCCAAGGACACAGGAAGTGCCTTGTGGGGGCCTGTGGGCCAGGCCAGAGTTGGCAGCCACTCCAGGAGGAAAGGACATTCCGAGGTCGGCCGAAAAGCCTCCACTCCCCGCTCCTGCCCGCTACCCGCCCTAACCCCCAGCTTCAAAGGAGAAGGGCGCTGTGGGGGGGGAGGGGGGGACGGGTAAGGGATTGAAGCCTGCAGAGTCAGCGCCCTGCCATCTCGGACTCTTTGGAAGGCAGAGCAGGCCATGGCAACGGACTCATAGGCCCCCTCCCCCGGCCAGCCTCCCCACTGACCAGTCTCCTCCTTCCTCCTCTGACTGTCCTCCCCCCTCAGACTAGCCTCCCCTTCCAACCACCGCCTGAAACCAGTTCCTCTCCCAAACTGGGTAGTACAAGGGGGTCTAGGGGACCAGGCAGGGGCTTTGTCATCTGGCTATTGTTGCCTGGCCCTGAGCCCTGAGCAGGGAAGGGCTTGGGTTTCCTGACAGGGACCAGGTTTCTCAGAGGGAAAAGGAGGAAAGAATAACAAAGAAAAGGAAGAAAAGGAGTGACTTGTTGCAGCTGGAGCCCAGCTGAGGGACCGGCTGGGTGGAGGTGGGGGTGTTATGAGAGACCAAGTGTGAGACTGTGGGACAGTCCTGTTGTGAGAGTGTTTTTAAGACACGGCAATTGTGAGGATGTGTGTGGAACTCTGAGAGGCTGACTGTGAGCAACTGAATGGTCGTGAGGCTTCATGTGTGTGACTAAGACTCTGGGCAATCATGTCGTTGTACGGTTTGAGGCTGTGTGCGACTGAAAAACTGCCTCTTCATGTGACTCAGTGTGCAGCTGTTTGATTTCGAGATTGTGTGAGGCTGTACAGAGGTGCTCTGTGACAGTAAGTGTGACATTGTGTGTGAAACACATGGTGACAGCACGGCTACACAGGAGACACCGCACAGGAGTTTTAGCCTGAGTATGTTTTTCAAACTGTGGGTGTGGGAAGGTGCCCAGAATTCCAAGCGTGTTCACACGTGTGAGCTGAACACCGTGTGAGAGCATGCTGAGGGAAAGAGTGAGCAAAAGCTCATACACATTCATATCACACTCTGGGGGTACAGCCGTGCTCCTGGATGACCAGGCATCCTGAGTTGCCCCTTGTGGGGGCTCCTGAGATGCCCAAGTGACTGTGTCAGCCTGGGGCAGGTTGTCCCTGGGTCCCATGCGGGGCTGTGTGTGCGTGTGCATGCGTGCGTGTGCCCCCACTAGCCCCAGGTTTGTTTGTTTTCCTCCTAATTGGCTTGTTTTTCCATGTCCAGCCCACCAAACCGCATGTTTTTCCTCTCATCTCGCCAGCCCTCCTGGGCTGGAGCCCCCGGCACGCACGAAGCCTGCCTGCCGGCCCGGAGAGGAGGAGAGGCAGGCTGCCCACAGCCCTGGCCAGGCCGGATCACGCTGGGTGGGGCCGGGTGACCCAGCTCCAGCCCTGCCCAGGCCACACCCACACTCCTCCTCCTGCCTGGCACTCAAGGCCCATGGCCTGTCCCAACTTCATCTCACGGCATCCCTTGAGATACCCTAACCTCCGGACTCCCAAATGCCCTTCTCCTGTCTCCCACCCATCTTTTCTCCCCAGGCACCTTCTTCTTCAACCACAGCCCTCTTACCCACTCTTTCTTTCCCAGCCAAACAGGGCTGAGGGGAAAGTAGTGCTGAACCAGGGGTTCCGGAGTTTCACTTCCTAACCATCAAATAAAGATTCTAAAAACTGGACAAGGACCTGTCCATTTAAAAATCATTTTAATCTCTGACTTGCTTTAGCTTAAAATCAGGACAAGTCCTTGGAGAAGGGCATCATGCTTAATAAAGGACAGGGTCAGCAAAAGAGAGGAAGACCCTCAAAGAGATGGAATGTCACAGTGGCTGCAACAATAGCAACGATTGTGAGGATGGCACAGGACCAGGCAGTGTTTTGTCCTGTTGTACACAGGGTCGCTACAGGTCAAAACTGACTTGATGGCACCTGACAACAACAAGTAAACAAAAAGATGCTACTAAAAGGAACCCTGGGATCCTGTGTCCTAACCTGGGGCAGGGGAGTCCTTTCATAATCCGGGGTAAGAGATTCATGGAGCTCTGTTTGTGAGTATTCATCTGAAGGCAGGAGGGAAGGTCAGGAGAAAGCAGTTCAGGGACCACCCTGGTTAAGCAGACTTTTAACAGAATATTGTCATTGGTTTCCCTCAGAAATAGAGACATGGAAGTCTTATATGTTTTGGATAATATTAAATATTTTTTGGTTTGAATGATCAACAAATCAAGGGTAACTCTGTCCTATTCTGAGAGCTGGCAAGAAGGATAATTTGATATTGAGTGTTGCCATACCCAGTCTCTTGTTACTACCATAAAGTGACTGAGACAATCATGATTAACATCCCCCGTTCCTCTTACCAGGTCTTTACAAGGACATAAGGCAAAGAGAGATAAGTACCTGATACTAATGCTACAGCCAGTTCATGGCCAGCCCTCCTCGCACAGACGGGCCCGGGGGAGTGGTGAGCTCTATGTATAAATGCTGTGGGCTCTGGTCACAACAGAGCAACTGTGGGCATGTCCTGTGAGTACAGACATTACTTCATGACCCATTCCCTCCCCCCAGTGACCTCCCAAAGATCAAGTAAATTCATTAGAAATAGGGACCCAGGGTCACCAAGGCCCATCGATCTGCTGCCAGCCTTGTCCATCCTAAAGACTCTTGGGACCTAAACTGAGAAGATGGGGTGTGTGGGTGATTGGTGCCAAGTTTGCCTCATCCTTCTTCCATGGCACCCAGTAAATGGCCTTTTTCCCCATGTAAGGGCCCAGGGCTAAACTGAGTACTCCAGTTCTGATGGACTCTGGGGTGGGTGGGTCAGGAAGGACACTGTAAGGCTGGTCCTGCATTTCTCATGCTGGCCAACAGGGGTCATTCCACCCTTGGCTTGCAACTAAGAGGTTTAATTATGAATGCCATCTCTACTTTTTTTTTTTTTTTTTTAAGGAGCCCTGGTGGTGCTTGGCTGCTAATCAAAAGGTCAGCGGTTTGAACCCACCAGCCACTCCACAGGAGAGACATGTGGCAGTCTGCTTCTCTAAAGATTACAGTTTTGGAAACCCTATAGAGGCAGTTCTACTCTGTCCTAGAGGTTGCTATGAGTTGGAATTAACTCGATGGCAATGGGTTTGGTTTTTTGTTTTTTGTTTTGGCTCCAGATTAAACACATAAAAGGCTTTTCCGTGGGGGAGGGTACATTCTTACCAAAACATATTTTTACCTTTTCCCCAGCTCCACTGGTAGGTCAGTGTTTGTGTGAAGCACCCTGAGCAACCCTTCAGTCTGATATTTCACAAGGTTCTCCATACCAGTCTCCCAACAATGGGGGCAAGGGCCTGCACCAAGGTCCCTCAGCATCTCCTCGGTAGCTCCCAAGGAGCAAAGAAACCATCTCTGGGCAGTAGGATGAATTACATCCAAATGGGAGGAGGCCAGAGGAGCTTAAGTCTTTGGTTCAAGAGAAAAGGAATGGAAGAAACAAGATGCAGTTTTCAGAGATCTACTCTGTTGGTGGGTGCCTATGGCTGAGATCCGGGTGTTTGCCCAGATGTTGGAGTGCATGGCTGCAGGGCTGCCCCCTTGCCTGGTCCTCAGCGGCACTCATCATGCAGACTTCTCCAAACCGTTCTTCCAAATCACACTCACCTGGTCTTCCCTCAGCCTTCCTGCTTTGCTCCTTCTTACCGCTATTTGTGGCTTGTTTCTCTCCATCCACCCCTTACACACTGATGGTCTTCAGAGCTCAATTCTGGGTCTTCTTTTCTCCTCACCTCATGATCTCTCCCTTGGCCATCTCACCCTTGCCCATCGCCTTGATGCTGACAACCCCTCAAATCCCCATCTCCCTCACATGCCTCTCCCCTGAGCCCCAGGCCTCAAATCCATCAACACCCGGCTGTCTTCAAGGACCCCAACCCAACATGTCTGCGGCAGATCTTAGTGGTATACAGATTCCTCAACCCACCACTTCCCACTGCCAGCTTCTGCAGCTATTTGGCTAAGAGCTTTCTTTGGCCACCAAAACCCACTCTGCCAGCTGGGGCAACAGGCCAAAAGTGCTGTGGAATTAAAGCACCAAACCCCCACCCCAGGAGAATCCCTCAACCATAACAGGCAGGAGTTAGTGTATAAACACCCCAGCTCCTCACCCCTCAGGTAGGAGTACTCTGAGGTTCATGATCTGCATTAGCTCCCAGAATTCCTTCAGTGGGTTAAGCTAGTTGCCCAGAGGTAATGATCTTGATGACTCACTCTTTATTGGCTATCTTAACTTCCTTTTTCTGTGTCACTTTCTCACTCCCTTATGGTGTTTCCACCACCTGCCAAATAAACTACTTGCATACAAATTCTCATCTCAGGATCTGTTTCTAGAGAAATCCAAACTAAGACACTGTCCAAGTTGAACACACCATCTTACCCTCCACACTGACGCTTCTGCTTTGTCCCTGTCGAAGTGACTAGTACCAACAGCTGTCCCGACTCTTCCCACTCTCTGCTCTCCTGTCTTCCCACCTCCAATCCATTACCAACCCCTGGAGAGCCGACCACCCCCTCACCTTCCCCAACTCCATGGCCTGGTCCCAGGTCCTCACATCTCTCCTGGATCCCAGAAACAGCCTCCTTCCTGTTCTTCCTGCCCTGGCTTTGTCCCCTCTAATTGCCTCGCTTCACTGCAGTGAGACGGATCTTCTAAGAACATGACCCTGACCATCCCTGACACTCCCCAGCTTCCAGGATCATGAGCCATCTCTGGCCTCTCCCTAGTTTCCTTCCCCTCATTTGTACCAAGTGGCCTTTCCATGCCTTCCCAGCCTCTGACATTCAGCTCTCTGCCAGAAATGACATTTCCAACGTATCTTCCAAACCCATCAAGTCTCCATGTTTGTCCTACTCCAGGAAGCCTTCTTCCTTCCCAGGAGCCTTTTAGAGTGCTCATACCTATACCTGCATAGCCCATGTCCCATTTCTCTCCCTAAGGCCATTATGGCCAGCCCCTGTGAAAGCAGACACAGTGAGGCTGCTCCAGTTCACAGCTGTGATCCCAGCGGACCCCAGATGGCCATGCCCTGCCAGCCTTCCTCTGCCCAACCTGTCATAGAGAACAGGATCTCAAAGACCTCCAGGGGGATGGGATAAATGGACAAAATGACCACAGGTCTGGCTCAGTGGGAAAGACTGGGCTCAGAGGTCAGAACAGTAGGCTAAGATGAGGTCACAGGGCAAGGGTAAGGGGGCTGCAGCCACCTCCCCACCCCCATCCCTACCCGCAGGAAGGGGATTTGATCTGGGCCAGGGGTCTGGGCCTCACTGACAACACCCTTGAGCAAGGCAGGAGGTCAGATGAGGGGTCAAGGGCAACACTCACAGCCCACATGTAGCAGGACTTGGTGATGCAGGTGCCAGGAGTCACGGTGGAAGCAGGCGTAGAGGCCGCTGTGGCCCAGTTCCAGGCCATGGAGCACGAGCTGGGAGCCATTGAGCAGGTCAGCGGCCAGGTCTGTCCCATTTACCCGCCACGTCACAGCTGCATCCCAGTTTGCTGTTCCACACGGCAGTGTCACGTCTGAGCCCAGGCGCTCGTACTGCACTTGGGGCGCCTCTGTGGGGGGCAGGGGGCACAGGCTGAACTCACAGGTCACAGCCCTGTCCAGCTCCCCCAGGTGAATCTGCACGGATGCGAGCCCGCAAGCGTACGTGAGTGAGGTGTATGGCCAGGCTCGAGAGACCAGTGAGTGTGAAAACTCTGTGACAGTGCAAGTGTGCAGGTACATGAAGGTCTCCAAGAGTGTGTATGTGTATGTGTGTGTGTGTATGTGTGTGTAGGGGGCTATGTGTGTGAATGGGCAATTTTTGTGTGTGTTTGCGTAGGGATGGATCAATTCTCAGTGAGAAACCATTTCACCTCCAGTCCCTGGGTCCTTTAAAAGTTTTCCTGACCCCTATGACCCTAATCTCTTGCCACTGACATCTGCCGCCCAGTCAAGCTGGAGCTGAGGGGCCCTACCACTGGACTCCTGTCTCTGTCTCCCCCCTCTTCTTTATCTCCCTCATCCTTGACTGTTTCTGTCCTGTCTCTCTCTCCCCATCTCTCTCCCTGCCTCTCTTCCTCTCCTCCACTCTGGCCCCTGAGAATCCTCTCCCCCCGCTACCATCCCAGGCTTGGATGACAGCAGCAGCAGCAGCAGCAGCAGCAAGGGAGAATGGTTAGGTCCAGGACTAGAACCCTAGGGAACTCCTGGCAGCTGTCAACCTGGGGAGGCAGGAACTGCAAGGGGTGGGTGGGGGTGCTGGGACTGAGTGAGCACACTGACCATTCCTCTCCTGCCCCCAGGAGGGGCCTGTCAGAGCCAAAAGCAACCCCCAGCCCTGGCCTCAGCAACCCAGGCGTGATGGACCGAGCCCAGGAGACTGGAGATGGAAGGGTGGGAGGCAGCACCTGTCGAGAGCCAGCGCTAGGTGGGGGAGGCGAGTGGGACCGCGGAAGTCAGAGATGTAGATCTACAGCCTAGTGAGCAAGCTGAACAAGCTAGCGGCAGGGAGGAAGAGCCAGGGAGATATGAATCCTGGGACCCCTCCCCACTCCCCTCATCCTGCTCCCCAAGCCTGGAAGGACAGATGCTTCCCTGGTTGTGGCCAGAGGCCAGAGCCAGATCTGTGGTGGGAGGGTGGGAGAGAGGGAGAAGGGGGAAGGGGGCGGTGGGGGGTCTGCGGGATCCCTCGTTAACACTTGCTCTCAACTCCCCTCCAGAGAGCCACCCTGCTGAGTTGGGGGATTTTCAGAGGCGATTCCTGTTAACGAGCCAATTAAGTTGGGCCAGAGGCCTCTTAATTAGACTTGTTAACACCACCAGGACTGCAGGGCGGGGGGGGGGGGGGGGGGGGGGGGGGGGAATCCCCCTCTGCCAGCCAGCCGCCCCTCCCCCCACAGCCCCCTCCCCAGTACTGCTCTTCTCTCTGCTGGAACATCTGTCCCCCTTCACTGCTTCTGTGGCCTTCCCTGTGCCGGGGTCTCTCTGGGTCTCTGGGTTTCCCTCCCCGATTTCTTGTCTCTGTCCTGCCCCTCCCTGAGTTTCTCTGTCCCCTTCAGAGGGGAGGGAAGCAGGAAACCCAGCCAGTCCTGACCACTCGTCTGTGGGGCCTGGGACCAGCCGAGCAGAGGATGAACGGGGCGGAAGGGCGGTGGCTGGGGGCCTTGGAGGCCACAGCTGTGAGGCTGGACCAGAGACTGAATGGGGGCCTCCCCTGACCAGAGGCCCAGTGTCCGAGGCTCAGGCCATAGAGCCTCCCTCCACCAGCTTCAGCCACTGAGCCCCCCTCTAGCCTCCCTTCCAAAAACCTGGAGCTTCCAGGAAACATGCCAAGCCCCTCTCCCTGCATTGCCCCCCCAACCCCCACCCCACCAGCAGAGACTTTGCATCCAGCTGCCTGAGGTGCAGATTGAAAACTGACCGTTGGGGAGAGGGAGTGGCCATCATGGTCCCAGGGGCAACACATCAACACTGACCAACAACAGCTCAGAACTAACACTGACCCAGGATGGGCCCTTTAATGCTGGGGGGCAGGTCTGGCCACAGGAGGAGTAAGCAGTGACCCAACAGCACAACAAATACAATGGCCCTGGACAGCTCTTCCCCACCACACCTTACCCGCCTCACAAAGGAAGTGGAAAACAACCTGACAACAATGACAGTTTGACGATGTTAGGGCAGGGTGGGAATGAAAATGTGACAACACATGACAGAAGACAGCCACAGCCAGAATGCAGAGGCAGAGGGGGCAATGTGCCATGACAATCACAAAGCGTCACAACTGCTACAATAACACAACAATGGCAATACACACAGTCATGCAACAGCTCCAAAGATGGCAATGATTTAATCCTTTGTCTCTGGACAGCTCTCCTCCCACCCCATAGGTGCCCCTACTGATGTGCTGTCCATTTCAGAAATTAAATCAAGCAGCAGGGGGAGGATGGGGTTTTTGGCCCTGACGCAGTGACAAATGCTCCAAAGGAATCAGCTGTGAAAAGGTTGTTAGAAGCCAGGATGAGAGACAGAGACAGGATGAGGTCATGGACATGGAGAACACAGAGGGACAGAGCTGACGGCTCCCTCACACCTGCGCACACAGGCTCACATGGGGACCACATGCCGGAAACAGTCCCCCCAACCCGAGCATCATCACGAAGCAACTTCACACTGCCACACACACAGGAAGGTCACCTACAAAGAACAAGCATACACAGGACAGTCATCTACAAGGTCACAGTCACACATGGGTTCACAGTCACACAGGGATGCTGTCCACTTCAGGGTAACACCTGACACAAGATCACAGGCATGCACAAGAAGGGCACTGTCACCTAGAGGCATGGTTACATGTGGGGACAGTCTTACACATGGGGAGACAGTTTAACAAGGACACAAAGGGACAGAAACAGAGACACTATCACACATGGGGCACAGTCTCAAACACACAGACACAGTCCCACAAAGGACATACAATGTCACATATGGGGCACAGCCCACAAGGACATAAACCACACAGAGACACACTCAAATGGGGACAAAGTCTCACCCACACAGGAACACAGCCTAATGCACAAGGTCAGTCTCACACACAAGGACAGAATCTCACACTCTCAGGGACACAGGGCCTCGGTCACATGTGGCCCTGCCTTTGCATACAAGCATTCACCTTTGCTCAGGGCAGAGGCCAGGCCAATGGTAGAGACCACTGGCAGGTCCTCGGCGGATGTGGTCAGCACAGGAGCCCAGGGCAGGCCGACTGCAGGCAGGGGAGGACGGACTGGCCTGGTGGTGCCTTTGGTCACTGTCCTTTGGGAAGTGGCCCTGGGGCCAACAAGGCTTGCTCTGGGTCTCAGCGTCAATCTCACAAGGAGGAGGCCATGGGAGCCTTGACCCACTGTCCTTGAACCCACAGCCTTGAGGGTGGCAGAGCTCAGCCAGCAGGATCTGCTCTGTGCCTGAGCCCCAGAGATGCCTCCATCCTCCCTGCCTCCGTGATCTGCCAAGGTGGGAGGCAGGACCCATCCAAGGGGGCAGTTCCCCACACTTGGAGCCTTGTTCGAGGGGAATTTCAAGTTCAGACCTTGTGCTGATATGGCCATTGGAGGTGCTGCCTCAAATGCAGTGGGAGGGCTGGGGGTCAAGTTAAGAGGGTGCCTGGCTCCTCTGCAGGGGTGTGGCTACTTGCCTTATGGGCTGTGGGGGGTACTTAGCCCTCACTGGACAAATGGGGGAGGGGCAGGGAAGCCGCCAGTGGCCCAACCCTGAGCAATTCCTCCCCACTCCAGCCACACCAGCCTACTAACCTGTTCCCTTCCTCAGTTCACCAGCCGTTTCTCACCTGTCACCCAGTCTGTTGTCCCCATATCTTTTCTCAGTCCTCTATCTTTCCTTCAGGATGAGGCTGAGGATAGAAGGGGACCAACATCTTGTCCACTATCTCCTCTCAGTGCTTCTAGCTGTACCCCCACAAACCTCCAGAAGGTACCTACCATTCCACACAGATACTCTACAGAGGCCCTGCTCCTAGCTGCCCCTCCCATCTGCTTGTACCTTACACCCACCCTGGTGGGAAGAGGCACAGACCCATTCAAGCCAAAGACACCATCAACGTGTGACCACCCAAGTATGACTGTAGGGGACTGTGCCTGGGAGACCACATCAGTGGGTCACCCTGCATGTCAATGTCATATGACTCCATGTCCCTCTGGGTGTTCATGTGTGGCCATGCCAGTGTGTTTCCTGGGTGGTGTCAGTGTGCAGCTGTGCCAATGAGGGATCATGCCTTCAGTGAGGTGGTCGGCGGGAAGCTCCCCCAAGCACTCACCCTGTGGACTGTGTCTCTGGGCGTAGACAACTGCGGCAGCAGCAGCAAGCACAGCACAACAGGCCCACGGGACAGGAGCAGCCATCTGTTGGGAGAAACAGGGGCAGGGGAGGGGGCAGCATCAGCCCAGGTAGGAACCACCTGGGAAGCCCCTCCTGTTCTCAGGCAAGACTGGGAAATCCCAGCCCCAGGGCCAGGGCACCTTGACCCCAAATGCCCTTCTTAATGGGGCTTGGGATCCTCTTTCAAGCAATAGAAAGCAACATTATTGGCATCTGTAGGCAAAGGTTTGCTAAGATGGTAGAAGGCAACCTACAGTGGTTTGCTGTTCGATAAGGCTGCTGGCTGCCAGGATGTAGTCAACCACGGATGACTTATAGAACACTGGTAAAGCCAGGGCCATTTTTCTAAAAAAAATAACTTTACTGGTGAGGTTGGCTAATTAACTATAAACATCACAAACTGAAAGGGTAATGTTTTAACTTAATTGGAGGACTGTACTTCTCCAAACTGCCTTGAATAGGAGGCCCCCTGCCTGAAACCTGGATGCTGAGGAGCCTCTTGGCTCTGCCCTGCTCCCTGTAAGCCTTGCCACTGGGCTCTGGGAAACTCAGAGCCATAGGGTAACAAGGCAGCAGGACCTTGTGACCCAAGTCAGATGTGGCTTCTGTTTTACTGTACACCAATGATCAAAAAAAATGAGGGGTTTCCTAAAGATTCCATGAGAAATCTACTGGAACTAATAGAAAGATGCAGCAGAGTAGCAGGATACAAGATAAACATTCAAAAATCAGTTGGATTCCTATACACCAATGAGGAGAACGATGAAAAGGAAATCAGGAAAACAATACCATTTTCAGTAGCCCCTAAAAAGATAAAATACTTAGGAATAAATCTGACCAGGGATGTAAAAGACCTATACAAAGAAAACTACAAA